CTAAACAGGCCATCGGTTGATCTTGAGTGCCGGTACTTACGCTTCACGGTGAGCGATGCTGTGCTATGTGTCTTGCCTGCGGAATTGGTGGCTATGCAGCGATAGGGGCCCTGGTTGCTGGGACGAGCATTAGTGATGGTAAGGACAGAACCGCCTGGCCCAATTTTTACATTGTCTGCAATATGAAAAGTAACTAGCATCACTTCCCTGAGTCTTGGATTGGAACACATGGCTGGTAACTGGTTAGGGCTCACCTGGTAGTGGCTGGTTGTTGGTCCGTTTCCACTCTAGACGCACAGGCTGTGAACCACCCAGTACCTGGCAGCGAAAGCTGGTTGACTCCCCCTGCCGAATGGTGTCACTGTGGGGCTCAATGGAGACCGCCGGGGCCTGCTGCCCAGCTGGGGGGGCCGAGGACAAACAGGGTCAGGCCCGCTTCCATCGGGGGAGGGTACTGGTTGGACCTGGCAGGCGCCCAGGCAAGTGACAACCAGGTTTGGCCAGTGACAGATTTCTTTTTTTGCTATTTGGAAGAAAGCAAACCAGATCATCCCAAAAACCTGCACCCACAGTGGCTCTCCATGGAACAGGTTCCCCACCCCTGGCCACTTGGACTCAAAGAGAAAACCCAAGTATTCTCCCAGATATACAATCAGTACATCTCAGGCTTAAGAAGAATAGAGATAAATAAAGAAAACAATCAACTGTATAGCTGCTTCAACAGAACTCTCCCTGCCGGCCCCTGGAGGATGGGCTCCCCCTTTGAGTCTGGTTCCTCCCAAGGTTTCTTCCTTCTAGGGAGTTTTTCCTTGCTGTAAGTGGGGATGCTGTAAAGCGCTTTGAGATGATGTAATGTTGTGATAACGCACTATACAAAAATAAATTTGTTTGTTGTTGTTCTACATAGATCTTCTAAAAATAGCTCAGAATATTTGCCATCAAACCGCAGTGGACATCTGCTTCCTAGGTGGCCAAACACTGTACATTCCATAAACAGGGGGTCTCACTTCTCTGTGTCTGGTGTCTGTATCTTTCTTCTCAACATGAACATGAGTTAATTATTTGAATATGGACAGTACTTTGATTCAGAACAAAACACGTAACGGTGTGTAATATCCTGCTTGTTTTATTTTACTGCCAGGTCAAGCGTAGCATGCAAGGTGTGCAAAAAGAGAAAAGGAAAGTTTTTCTTTTATGTAATGAGCCCTGGGAGTGCGGCTCTCCCCTACATGGAAAAACTGTTGTTATGTTGTTAGTCATTTTTCTTTGCATATACTGAGAATGATAAGCATGCTGCTGGACCTGGCCTGGATTAAGTCAGTCTGCACTAATTTTGTACATGTATGTCAAGCTAGTTGCTGGATGACCAATATTGAAATACTGTACACTTGTGTGAGCACCACATTACGTGGATTCTGTGGTGTTTTTCAAGGCTGGGTCCTGATACTTTTCTCTTGACAGTTTTACAAGTAACACTGAGTTACCAAAAATTGTATTTAGGATAAAATCAGAATACCAGAATAACATGTGTAAAATGATAAAATTCAGGATAGAGCATACAGAAATGCAGTTAGGTCAGGATAGATCATGTGAAATGAAATGAGTAGAAGATAGATCATACAGGAATGCAGTGAGATCAGGATAGAACATACACAAATGTGATGAGGTCAGGATAGATCATACAGTACATAAATGTGATGAGTTCAGGATAGATCATACATACATGTGATGAGTTCAGGATAGTTCATATAAAAATGCAGTGACTTCAGGGTATGTCATACAGATATGCAGTGAGATCAGGATAGATTATGCTGACACATGGTGAGTTCAGGACAGATCAAACAGAAATGCAGTGAGATCAGCAAAGATCAATGAGACACTCAGAATCATAAAGTGAGTTCAGGACACAATAAATCAAACCAGTGAAGGTTCTGACATCTGGGTGTCTGCTTACCTGCTGACAGAAGTACACTGAGAAGGATGACTGCAATGTAGATGGCCATGATGAGACCGGGAGAGGACCCACAAATGCTGTCCAAGCTGCAGCCTGAGTTTGCCAAAGTATTCCACCAAACAGACGAAGCACCCCACCCGGTCAATCATTGTCCTGGGGGTGGGGTGCGGGGGTGGGAGATGTCGTGGACTGTGACAAGGACACTGAACATTCAATTTATTACTCATTGCATAACAGTTTTGCTTGTTTGTTTTTTAGCACTTTTATATGCATTTTATTTTTACTTGTATATTTGTATGTATACAGTTCAGGTAGAAGAGTTATCTTGTATACATTTATTTAATGTAAAGGTGTGTGTGGGTGTGTGTGAGTGTTGGTGTGGGGGGTACCCTGAACTTCTGTTTAGAAGCTTGATATCGAGATGTTTGAAATGCCTCTAATCTCCCCAGGACAAATAAGGCAAAGTCCAAAACAATGCAAAAGCAGAATCAAGCCCAAATTCATAGTTTAAGAAGGTCGGCTTTAATCGAACTCTCCTCCGAACGAGATGAGATTGTGCTGGGGTAAAACTGGTGCTCCATTTGTAGGGATAAATTACATGAATTAATTAGTTAAAATACATTTGCAACAGTGTTCCATCAAAAACAAATTTTCTGTTTGAGTCACGTGCTATTTTTTATCAGTCATTCACCAACCAATCAATGGGACTACGTGACAGTAGCACTGGAGGTCAGTGCGCTAAGAGTGCTTCAGCATCCCTTCTGGTTGTTGGTGGTAACGCAGTGTTACTGTAGGGTAGTGATGGCCAAATGAAGCTTCATGAACCATTTACTGTATTTTCTGACTCCACTAGATGGTGCTCTCTCTTCAAAAAAGAGCTCAAAATATGCTCCAAAGCAAACTATGAGCACCACCTAGCAGGGTCTAAAAATATAGCAAATGGTTCACCATTGGTGTGGGGCAGTGATTCTCTAACCAGTCCTCGGGGACCCCACAGATGGTCTATATTTTTACTCCTTCCTAGGGAATTGGGAGAGAGCAAAAATGTGGAGCATTCGGGCCCTAAACACTGCTGTAGGGCAACATGCCCCATTGCCCATCATACCTGTGGTTTAAAACCAAAAACAGAAAGCCTACAGTACATATCCATGGTTGTTATCTTAGCTGCTGTTGTTGTCCAGGTTGTTTTGACGCTTAGCAGCCTGAGTTCAAAATGTCTTCCTGGGCCTATGTTACATGATACAGTTTCTGTGAAATTTGCTAACTCTGGACCACAGGAATGTTTGCACCCTCTAGCTAAGCATCCTGAGAAATACTACTTCAGTATGACAAGATTCACATCCCTACGAGGACGCCATTTCTCATGTCCAATATACTACCCTCACTCATGTGGATGGAAAGAGAGGGAATTATGTGAGAATGCTGTTTATAGACCAAAGCTCAGCATTCAGTACCATAGTCCCCCTCAGACTGTTCACCAAGCTGAGTGCGTCTGAGTGACCAGCTGAGCAGATGGATTCTGGGTTTCTTTAAAGGAAGACCCCAGGTGGTGAGAGTAGGCAACTGTGTATCCAGCGCAATCACCCTCAACACGGGAGCTCCGCAAGGCTGCGTCTCGAGCCCACCGCTGTACACCCTCAACACGGGAGCTCCGCAAGGCTGTGTATTGAGCCCACTGCTTGTACACCCTCTACACTTACGACTGCGTAGCCACACTCAGCTCAAATTCCTTCGTGAAATTTGCTGATGACACAGTAGTGCTAGGCCTCATCTCCAACAATGAGTTTACTTGAAGGAAGTGGAGAACCTGGAAAAGTGGTACCAGGATAACAGCCTCTAACTGAACGTCATCAAAACAAAGGAACTGATTGTGGACTACAGGAGGCATCAGGGCTCTTATCCACCTGTCAACATCAATGGTGCTACAGTGGAGAGGATGAACACTTTCAAGTACCTCAGCGTCCATCTTTAGGAGGACCTCACCTGGTCCACACACACATTCTCTGGTCAGCAAGGTGAGGCAGCAGCTCTACCATCTGAGGCAGCTGAGGAGGTTTAAGGTCTGTCCTGTGGCCTGTACTACGAAGCGGGGTTACTGGCTTATCGGGGTAACTTTGCGAGTAACTTGATGACGTGTGGTGTAACTTCGCGATTAACCCGTACTACGAAAGGTGGGTAGGTTTTAGTTGAGGCATGCTGCCATGGCAATTTACGCTAAGTCTCAAAACTGCTTGGATTAACTGCTTGGTTAAGTCGAGGTTTCTGCGTAAGCCAGCCCTATATGAGCACCGCTCCTCCAACTACAATTTCTCCGAAGACAATGCCAGCGTACCTGGATGATCCGTACGACATTGGCGCGCGAATCGTGAGGGGCTCTCTCTGTTAATATGTATGAAATGGCATATAATATGCATACAGTGTATTAATTAATAACTGTTACAGAGAAAGTTATTCTGAAAACCCAAGGGGTGTACATTGTTCCCTGTTGTCCACTGATCAAAGCACACTTCACTAGATGTGCCTGTCTTGTCTAGTTTTAAAATTATTAACCCATTCCTGTATTGTTCCATTGCACAGTATATGGATACATTCGAACATTCAAAAATTAATTAAAATTTGCATGTAAAGCAATCTGGGAAACAATGGGGTGTGCAACAGTTGCCATGAGCCCAAAATACTAAACCACCATGTCATTACAGCTGAAAGGACCTATTATATTAGCTATTAACATGGTTTGGCACAAATCACAAAATGTTTTGAGGCGGAAAAATAATCAGTGTGCATCGATGTATGTGTACTGGACATCACAATTCTGTCATAAAAAACGCCCACCTTACTTCCGTAAAGTTATTAAAGCCAGAAACCTGAATATGGAATATGAGGCTAACTTAACCGCGGTGACAGGTTCCTAGTCGTTTTCTCACTACACATTTGCTTCTGTTTTGTCCTGTTGTAAATCATTTAATTGTTTGTTAAACAGTGGCTCACCTTCTATTAAGTGTCATATGAACAGACACCTTTTTATTATTAGCTGTAAAACATAGAAACACGTTATTAATAGCTCTCCTGGAGCCGACACCTTATCGTGGTGGGGGGGTTTGCGTGTTCCAATGATCCCAGGAGCTAAGTTGCCCGGGGCTTTAAGCCCCTGGTAGGGTCACCCAAGGCAAACAGGTCCTGGGTGAGGAACCAGACGAAGTGCGATTCACAAGACCCTTTATGATGAATACAAACATAGATTCACGTTTTCCCTTGCCCGGACGCGGATCACTGGGCCCCCCCCCTGGAGCCAGGCCTGGGAGTGGGCCTCGATGGCAAGCGCCTGGTGGCCAGGCCTACACCCATGGGGCCTGGTCGGGCACAGCCCGAACAAGGCACGTGGGTCCCCCCTCCAATGAGCTCACCACCTGTAGGAGGGGCCATAGGGGTCGGGTGCAGTGTGAGTTGGGCAGTGGCCGAAGGCGGGGACCTTGGCGGTCCGATCCTCGGCTGCAGAAGCTAGCTCTAGGGACATGGAATGTCACCTCTCTGGTGGGGAAGGAGCCTGAGCTGATGCACGAGGCTGTGAGGTTCCAACTAGATATAGTCGGGCTCACCTCGACGCACGGCTTGGGCTCTGGAACCAGTCTCCTCGAAGAGGGTTGGACCCTCTTCCACTCTGGAGTTGCTCACGGGGAGAGGCGCCGAGCGGGGGTGGGCATACTTATTGCTGGGCGCCTGTACGTTGGGGTTTACCGCAGTGGACGAGAGGGTAACCTCCCTTCGCCTTCGGGTGGGGGGACGGGTCCTAACTGTTGTTTGCGCTTATGCGCCAAACGGCAGTTTAGAATACCCACCCTTTTTGGAGTCCTTGGAAGGGGTGTTTGGGTAGCGCTCCTCCCGGGGACTCTCTCGTTCTGCTGGGGGACTTCAATGCTCACGTGGGCAATGACAGTGAGACCTGGAGGGGCGTGATTGGGAGGAACGGCCCCCCCGATCTGAATCCGAGTTGTTGGATTTCTGTGCTCATCACGGATTGTCCATAATGAACACCATGTTCAAGCATAAGGGTGTCCATATGTGCACTTGGCACCAGGACACCCTAGGCCGCAGTTCGATGATCGACTTTGTGGTCATGTCATCGGACTTGCGGCCGCATGTATTGGACACTCGGGTGAGGAGAGGGGCGGAGCTGTCAACCGATCACCACCTGGTGGTGGGTTGGCTTCGCTTGTGGGGGAGGAAGCCGGTCAGACCTGGTAGACTCAAGCGTACAGTGCAGGTCTGCTGGGAACGTCTGGCGGAATCCCCTGTCAGGGGGAGTTTCAACTCCTACCTCCGGCAGAACTTCGCCCATGTCCTGGGGGAGGCGGGGGACATCGAGTCCGAATGGGCCATGTTCCGTGCCTCCATTGTGGAGGCGGCTGACTGGAGCTGTGGCCGTAAGGTGCTCGGTGCTTGTCGCGGCGGCAATCCACGAACCCGCTGGTGGACACTGGTGGTGAGGGATGCCATCAAGCTGAAGAAGGGCCTTTTTAGCCTGTGGGACTCCGGAAGCAGCTGATGAGTTCTGGCGGGCCAAGGGGAACGCGGCTTCGGCGGTCGCTGAAGCAAAAACTCGGGTATGGGAGGAGTTTGGCGAGGCCATGGAGAACGACTTCCGGGCGGCTTCGAGGAGACTCTGGTCCTCCATCCGACGTCTCAGGGCGGGAAAGCGGTGCAGCATCAACACTGTTTATGGTGGGGATGGTGCGCTGCTGACCTCAGCTCGGGATGTTGTGGGTCGGTGGAAGGAATACTTCGAAGACCTCCTCAATCCCACCGACACGCCTTCCAATGAGGAAGCAGAGTCTGGGGACTTGGGGGTGGACTCGCCTATCACTGGAGCAGAGGTTGCTGAGGTGGTTAAAAAGCTCCTCGGTAGCCAGGCCCCGGGAGTGGATGAGATCCGCCCGGAGTTCCTCAAGGCTCTGGATGTTGTGGGGCTGTCTTGGTTGACACGCATCTGCAGCATCGCGTGGACATCGGGGGTGGTGACTCTGGATTGGCGTGGCGTGGAACTTCAGGGAGCATTACATTACTTAGCAGCATATAATAAGTGACTTCTGAATTGTGTAATTATTAACAGTATTTCAATTCTTTTCAGAAAACACTTCATTGTCTAATACTCGGTCGTGAGATATTTTAGACCACATTTTATGACCATGAAAATGTACGTATGCATTTACTCGGTCGGCAGTACGTTGCCAACAAGTCTGCCTGCTTTTGTTGGCTGCAGTGGTATCGAACTTTCTTTACAGCATTGAATTAAGCTTCTCATAACCCTGCATAATTTGCATGCAGTCTTCCTCCGTGAAACATGGAGATTGCGCCATGAGTCAAACGGTGCCTTGCGCTGCCGAACGTGCTCCATTTATGTGAACTTATATTGAATACTCTTAGGAGGCATGTCACGCTCTGATATGCCGACAGACTTCCTTGTGTTTGATGTAAACATTAGTCATCACTGATGTGGCGCATTGTGGTCTGTACATTTATCCAAAAACTGCTTCCATGGTTTTTGCCAAACTGTGGATAAAGTGCACATTAAGCATGCTGCACTTGGTTTATTCGAAGGATGCAACACCCTTGGATACTTTCGCTAAGCATATGAACACGTCTGCCAATTGTGGTAATTTAACTACAGATATCCTTGGTGGGGCAAATGGGATGAAGCCTCTTTCTGTGAGGGCAGGAGGAATGGCCACCCAGCCAGACAGTGTGGGCTACTAGTTACTAGTTTTCTTCTTGGAATGAAATACATAAACACAAGACATGAGGCAAAATCTCCAAATGCTGACATTATGAATTACCAACAAATTATGAAGGTTTATGTTTAAAAACAACATTTATACTTGCGTGTACAGCAATTAATTAAAAGTTTATTTTAAAATCAAAATAATCCGTACAGCTCAGACCGCCTTTCCTGGTGACAGTCACTGTTCATTGAAAATTATAATCATATTGATTATCTAACATGGGAAGAATAATCGCTCCTGTAAGGCCCCTTTAAATCGCGTTGTTATGCCAGCATGGTTGTCAATAAAGTTTTTGATTCCGAGGCGATGACGAAGTGCTTTGTGGGTAGGTCGTGGAACGAGATCGGAGGACGCCATGTGCTTTGTGTTCGCCGGTTTGCGGCACTAAGAGGCAGTGAATGACAGTGAGGTGGTAGCAGGGCCACATTGCTTATACGGGGACGAAGACGCTGCCGCCATGAACTGCACTCGGCTGTGCATCCGGACCGCGCTGCGGATCGGACCGAAGGCGCTTCGGTGGGCATCGGGGGCACCCTGAGGTTGCGGGGGCACCCTGAGGTTGCGGGGGCAGAGCGGCCGGTCCAAGGGCAGCGCAGACTACGTGTGTCATGGAGAGCGTCTCACAGATGGAGATGTGTGGCTGCCCTGCGCTTTTTCCGAGCTTTGAACGGAGCCACATGTAGGCCAGCCGTATGGTTTCTGGACCGGAGCTGCGTGCCTGTACTTCCTGGAGCCCCTGTTATTAATCCAGAGAACTACTATGTAGTTTAGCTAATGGAATCAGTCCAGTGTGATGCGGGTTCATTGGCTTTGAGTTTCCTTTCTGCGGGATGTTTGGTCGGTATTGACACTATATCTACTATTAGTTATACAGAGTTAACAGTTTACAGGAGGACAAGTAGTTGGCTAAGGATCCGGGGGCAGTCTGCACATTCTGGTCTTGTATATATTCTGACTCTTAGTCTAGGATCAGCAGAAATTTTTCCGTCCAGTTGCTTTAGATGAGCCAACAAGTTATGAGGTTTCATGCACCTTTACAGTGCCGATCATAAGATGACATCACATTTTTTTTTTTTTCATTTTCACTGTAACTGTTTACTTCAACATCTCAGTGCCCATAGTTAAGTGTGTAACGTTTTTCGGGTAATGAAGTTGGTGTCTTAAATGCTGTTACTGTCTTCCCTGCAGGCAGGACCTGGGAATGTCGGTGAGGTGTGGGCATCGAGCACTGCAGACCAGTGTAGTCCGCCTGTCAGAGGCCATTGCCGCCGCCCCCCCCCTGGACGGCACGCCAAAGCACTACTCCCCCAAAGTGCAGCAACTCGTCAATGACATCGCCAGCCTGACGCTCATAGAGGTGTCTGACCTCAACGAGCTCCTCAAGGTAGGGCTGGTGTGGATCACGTCTGACAGCCCAGCAAGTTCCCCAGCTATGTCTGACTGCCTAGGGGCTCTGCCTTCGCCGTGTCTGACTGCCTAGGGGCTCTGCCTTCGCCGTGTCTGACTGCCTAGGGGCTCTGCCTTCGCTGTGTCTGACTGCCTCCCGCCGTGTCTGA